ATAAATATACTTTTAACATTAAAATAGCAAATGTGATAATTTTTAATCAAAAAATCAAGCTAGACATAATATGTTCGTTCCAGAGTAACTTCAAGTAGTTACTGAAGTATCTGGGTCATACTAGATAAGAAGCAGGACAAAGTGTGGGCTGAAGGAGACTGGAATGCTGCAGTTCTTCCTGTTTGAAGACTTGATTGGTGTGAAGTACAGGAAAATCTGGTTTGATGCCAGAGGTCTTGATCCTTCTGGCTTCCATATATATGACACCCAAATCAGTCAGGCTACTTCTTGTAGCTAGTACCATGGTTACAATCTTCAGAAGTAATTTCCCTATAGCAAAAGTTATACGCACATGTCTTAAATCAAGAAATACTTCAAGGTTAATAACTACAACCATGTCAGAGATCAGCTGAACAATAGTGTCTCAAGTGAGGATCTTTGCAATGCAGAATACAAGGCATAGTCAAAGCTCACAATACATCTAGGCAAGGTAACATTCCAAGAAATTTAAGACATGGCTCAAGAGCAAGTTACATAATAGAACACACACACTGGGAGAAAGAAGATCAGTCCAACAGTAGAGTCTTAATTGGAATCTTTATGGGATGCACAACAGATCAAAGATCATGGTAAATCCAAGCTAGAAAGATTAAGCTGGAGATATTTCTTTCTGCCTCTCTTGTCCAGCTCATGCAGGTTAAGTTCAGGTTTCAAAGTAACAGGAAGATAGAAGTCTTTAACAGTAAATAAATTCTCTTTTAGGGCCTCTATACTACATCCTAGACTGGTTTTAAAAAATCTAGGGGTTGGAATGTCCTAAGACATTTAAAAATGCTTGAGTCCAAACAAAGAAGTGAAGATGTTTTTTCTAGAATAATTATTATTACATTACATTTTTATAATGCCCAGAGCCAAAACTCCCTGGGCGGTTCACAACATTGAAGTTGCCCATCCATATCGCAATCAGGTCCTACCTGCTTGGCTTCCAAGATTAGGCACGATTAAGCACTTTAGGCTATGAAGAAGTTATATGGAATTATATTCCATGGAAGGTTCTTAATGATACAAGATTAAAACAAACAAGGATACAGTTCTGATGTAGAGTCTAGGTGACGAGTGCTGTGAGCTGTTTAGACGGTGGAAACTCCAAACAGGAAAGATTTTGCACTGTAAAGATGAGAGTGTTCCTAATGAAGGCCCTGGTTTAAATGCTAGGGTAGTGCTATTAAAGCTCTCTTTCTGAGTATCTAACTTATAGGAGACCCTAGCCTGTAAATCAGATATACATAGAAGAAAGAAGGCATTTCTGTAGTGGTTTCTGTTTTTTACATTCCCCAAAAACAGATTTGAAAACAGCTTCCTTTCCTGAAGCCTTATTGGTTCTCAGAGAAAGGCTATCCACTTTCTTAGCTGTAGCTATGTTGTTCAAGGTCAAAATTTGCAGCTGGACAGGAGTGTTCTACCTCCCTGGCATTTTCCCCTTTGAAGAAACCAGGCAGAAATGCTGTCACCATTCTGACATTCCCTCTCCTGCTCAGGCCCAAATAAGCCTCCCCTCCTTGAAATTAGATGGAAAACTAAGTAAATATTAACTTTTAGGCTTATAGCTTTTCATGGTTTGACTGGGTCTCCAATCAACCTATTTCAGATCTGAATCCTTGGCTCTACAGCATACCTTGGCTCGGGATTTTTTTTTTCTTCTTGCAGTACTCTTGTAATTTTCCTGGCCAAACAATAGATAAATCATGCATTAATAAATGGCAGAAATGTTTTTGCAGTTCATATACCCTTTCCCCCTCAAAATCTTCTATTCTTTCTAGTAAAAGTAATCCAAGTCTTCATAATGAATAAATGCCAAAGCTTGGAAGTAATGCTCATTGATACATTTTTCTGCTAAGACACTGACTGCAAGGTTCAGTTGTGAGTGTGTAGCAATAGAGCAGATATAGCTAAAAATAGCAGGCCTCCACCTCCCTTTACAGAGATGTTGAACTTGATTTCCTTCTGACGTGATCACAAGACCACTGCTGCAGTAGGGACTTAATGCTATTTACGTCGTTATTTTGCATAGCAGCATATCCCTGGGGATTTTTAAACAATGCAGCTGTTTCTGAAAGATGAAGTAGGAGGAAAATTCTTGCATCTGCTATTAGGAAGAAGGGAAGGAAGAAGTAACTGAATACAATTAGGTTTACAATTATACATAAATGGATAAGCAATCTTTATGAGGAGCCAGGTTAGAGAAACCTAGAAATATGTCTACTTTTGTGAATAGTATTTTCTTATGAACTGATTACTAATTATACCTCACTGGAAATATTTGTGCCTTCCAGCTTCTATTTATACATTTGTCCTGAATAATATATATTGTGCAGAACAGTTGTATTCTCATTTTCAGGTACTACTGATTGTATTCAACAGTTGCATGCCCAGATCTTTCATTTTTCTGACTCCCTCTAAAAAGTCTGTGGAAAACTGGGCGCCACTCTTGTACCGTATGAGCTGAATTTTGAGGAGTAGGAGGGGGAAGGTAAGGTGGTCAAACAACTATGACAACTTTGAAGGCAAAAAGACAAGAATATTAGGCAGGGGTTTTTGGAGTGGTATTACATAGTCAGCACAATGAGAGGTGAATCATTTTGGCAGCAGAGGTCTAGATAGATGTGAAAGAACTGAGGAGATAGTGAAAAATTTGCACTAATCAAATTGGAGGATGACGAGAGTGTTAATCATCTGAACGTATGTTAGAGTGTTCTAACCCTCAAAAGTTTGTCACCAGATATTTGTTAACCTGTTGCAACAATAAATACATTGTGTAGCAGCTGAAATAATGGCATAGAGTTCTAGAATATGAAGCATAGGTTTTGCTCTTTTTGAAGTTGGCTTGATTCAAACAAACCGCAGGTAAGGTTTACCAGAGTTTATCAGGTTCAGATGGCATAGCAGCTTGTGGCTAACCAGAAGTAGAAGCTAAAATGTCTGAACCTTTTCTCACAGCAGTGCAAGAGGCACGAAATTATGCACAGTCTTGAAATGCTAAACTTTAGTTTAGAAGTGCATTCAATTTGTTTTTGTAATATCAATAAAGGGGGGATTAAACAAACCTGGGGATGGGTGGAGTATGGGAAACTACGAAAGGAATCAGTAGTAAAACTAGATGGTGATGCTTTGTGTGAAAAGTTTAAGAGGAAGGCTTAAAAGGAAATACAATTGTAGTCTTGAATAACAAAGCTTGATAATGTAGTGAGGCATCCAGTCAGAAAACTTGCAGTCTTGTACAGGAGAGGATGGAGGGAGAAAGATCTTGAATAGGAGTAGAACTGTTTTAAGAGTATATTGCGGGACTGAAAGCCACAACATTTGATGAGATAATTCAGTGCATGTAGAGATAATACTAGCAGGAATCTAAGATCAGTTTTCTTGAGAGGCATCCAGTGGAGACAGAAAGAAAGCAAAGAATTCCTGTAGTAGATGGTTAACAATGATTTGGGAAGGAAGAGAACTCAGTGAGCACAATTTCTCCATGGCCTAAAACATGGCCTAAGCTCCAAGGGCAGCTTAGTTTTTTTTAGTTGGTTCAATCTCATTGTGTTTTGGGTTGGCTAGATTATTCACTTGAGAGATTTAGAAGGGGGTTAACTTGTGTGACTGCAGTTGTGTCAAATTCTTCAATTTGTGAAGTGGGAATAATTGTTTTTCCACACATGACATGTTAACTATAAAGCTCCATAGGCAGTTTTCCAAGGCCTAAATTTTCTCTATGATACAACCTGAACAATGTTGAAGTCTGAAATTGTATGGAGGACTTAATATGTGACATACTGGGCTGTTTTGAATGCAGCTCTAAACCAAAGCTTAGCATTTCAAGGATGAGCCGACCATCCTACCTGTGGCACAGCTGTGAAGAGAAATTCGGGAGCTTTAGATTCTATTTCTGATTAACCACAGGATGCCGTGTCATATGAACCTAACAAACTGGTTAATTTTATTTGTGGTTAGTTTGAAACAAAGCAACCTCAAACCATTGTTTATGGTTTACTTATTTCTGCAAAGGTTGGATGACAAAGCAAGCTGTAGTTAATCTAAAATGGGAGCAGAAGCTTCTGTTCTCATTATCTGTGTTAGAAGAGAATGAAACATGCAAACAACATTTTTGGAGCCACACACTTAACAAAATTACTGCTAGAAGTACAACTGTGTATGGGAGGGTTAAGCAGCTCAGTGCTGTGCAGAAATTCTGAGTACAAACGTCATAGTCTCTTACTATTGGGCATGCTGTCTGAGACTGATGGGTGAAGAGGCCAAATCATCTGGAGGACACTCAACCAGTTTATTACACAGGCACAGACAGCTGGTATTTGGGAATGTGCTGAGTCTTTCCTTGGATCCTGCATGTAGCCTAGAAATAATTAAGCTACATCGGGTGGATGAGTGTTGGGTCTTTCTGTTACATTCTTTGTTATCCAAGAGAAATAAATATACCAGGAAACAACTTTCCCTTGTCAAAACACCAGAATATTTTGCTCTTTAGCACTGTTAAAAAAAGAAATAAACTTTGGACATACATTCCTCCTTTGCACCATATGTATGCTGGGACTGATTTGGTTCCATATGACAAGTGAATCATTTAAAGCTGGTTTTAATGAAAAATAGCTAGGTAAGAACAACTATCTATTAGATAACTTTAAATAACTATTATGTGTTGATATAAATTGTAGGTTTGATGGATCAGATCCTTAACAGAAGAAGTCTGAATTTTATAGTAAATCCTCTTAGCTAATACTCTTCTGTTTAAAGAAGCAAAGTTACAGTGTTCAATCCAATTTTTAAATAAAAAAATGCATACATTGCAAGAACATATTCTGCTGTCTGATGAAAGTGAAGATTTGTCATGGTGGTATGCTTCAATAACTTTCAGCATTTGCTGTTACAACTTGGTGTTCTGTATTAATAAGACAAAATAGTCCATGCTTACTGTGTATGCGTGTGCTTTATTTCAGCGGAGAAATTCAAGGTGGAAACAAAAACTATTACTGCTGACTTTGGAGACCGAGAAGCTATTTACCATAACATAAAAGCAGGCCTGGAAGGCCTTGAAATTGGCATCCTAGGTTTGTATCTTCCTCTATTTCATTTTCCTTGCTATTATTTTCTAGAAAGCTAGCCTCCAAAGGAGTACATAAATTGTGCATTTCAATAACATCAGCAAATGTTCAAAAAAAGTTTGAAATCTTGAGGCTGCACAAAAGCTTCTGTTCCTAAGTGGAAAACTTCACTCTTAGTAGTCTACCTTGTATCCTTCATGCTTTAAAGTTCTGTCTAGGTTATGGTTATTTGTTTAATTAATTTCTGTACTGGCCATTAATCAACACAACTCTCTGGTGATTTACATAAAGTGCGCAAATAAAAACAATAAATTGAAATCAAAGAAATGATACTAAAATAGCAACAGTATATAATGCACCTCCAGTGGTAATGCTCAAATTAATCTAAGGCACAGCAGTGATGACATATAGTAACATGTAATATAGATAAAATATAAATATTTTTAAAATAATAAAATGTATTAATTGTTAAAATACTGGATGAATTAAAAGGTTTTTACAGGGTGCCAGAAGGAATAAAGACAGGGTGCCAGACACATATCCTTGGGGAGCTGATTCCCTAATCAGAGTGCCACCACCAGAAAAGCCCTTCGGCTCTCTTGAGAACAACCTCAGACAATGACCTCGTGGTCCAGATAGGCACATACGGGAAGAGGCATGCCTTTAGATAACCTGGCTCCAAACCATATAGTGCTTTATTGATGTAACCCTTTTATCAGGCCCAGACTTCAACTGGTATGCAGTATGGAGTTCAAAGAAGACTGGCATAATGTGTTCTTATGAGTAAGTCCACATCAGCAGTTTTGATGTCCTATTCTAAACCAACTAAAGTTTCCAGACAGACCATAATCCAGAGCATAGGGCACTGTTGTGAGGCTCTGCCTGTCCAGGTAGGGTCATAGTTGATAAAGTAGCCTAAGCTGATAGAAGGTGCTGCAGGCCACCTTTAACTCTACTGACAGTTCAGGGTCCAGAAGTACCCCTAAACTGCAAACCCTTTCCTCTTGGGGGAATGCAGCCCCATCCAGGACAGGTTTAATGTCATCCGACTGGACAAACACCCCCCCTCCTCAGTAGTTGCAGTAGTTTTCCTGTATCTTCTAACAGGTAGAAAATTCAAAAAACGGAGGTTAAAATAGCTAACATCTAACTCTGTGCTTCCTCTTCCAATCCCCCCCCCCACCTTCATGCGTGTATGATTGCTTAAATATGGGTAATCTGTGCATCTTCCAGTTATTTTCCCCTTCATAGTCAGATATGAGTAGTCTTGTGGAGTGGATCAAATTACTGCTTTCTGTTATAAAAAGCTTTCTTTCTCTCCAAGGTGTTTTATCTCACATCTGGCAAGAAATATCAACTTCTGAATATTAAGTATTTTGACACAGAGGTTCAGAAAAGCCTGGAAATGATTAATTGTTGCATTTAAGTCTACAACCATAGAAATAATTTGTTTGAGCGATAGTAAACTGGTCTAGATTGCTCACTAACTAGAAGACAGGCAGTGAAAGTAATTTGAACTTATTGATGCTTCCTTCAGTAGGAAGGAAACAGAAGCATCAATAGTCTATCCTCTGCCCATCAGTATTGCCTCTACCCATCCACCATAAAATCCCTGAAGGAAGGAGAGTACCCTCTACTTATATCAGCTATAATCAATTTGCATATTTTCCACTCCACTCTGTCTTTTTTACATTGGGCTGAGTTATATATTCCATTAGTTGTCTGCTTTGATAAAACACTGGCGAACTACTGTGGTGGGGTAGACTGCTGGGCTTGGATTGGGGAGACTTGAGTTTGAATGCCTGTTTAGTTACCCTTTGGTGATCTTAGAGCAATTAACTAATGTAGTAGTAAATGTAAAATGGGATAACTCCCATGCAAGCAGTTCTGACATCCTTAGATGCTGGGAGGAATAGAAATGTAGGAGATAATAGATGGTGACTTAGTTTAGACAATTAAAGAGCCCATGATTTCTTAATCATGGATTGTTTGTAAGCAGTTGGGAGCAAGCAAACATGCTGACTCCCACCTGCTTTTGCTTTGTTAAACATCCCAGTATGCCTCCTCCATAGCTGAGTTGTTTACCATGATGCTTGAACTGAGAACTCTGTTGTTGAAGGAGAAGCTACCACAAGGTTGTGCCCATGTTTTGTAGTTAGACTAAAATTCTGATTTGTTTGTTCTTCAACAAGCCTGGAGTTCTGGCTTTAGACACCACGGTGAACAACCCAGGAATGGGCCAGGTGTTGTTTAGCAAAGCAGAATTGAAAGGGCAGGAGCCAGTACCCTAACTTGTGCATGCTCACAAAAAACCCATGGTTTGTGGACATGTTCTGCTTACTAGTGGTTAGCACTGAAGTCATAAAAGTGTCAGTTTGGAGAAGGAAAAAAGTGCTATTGGGTCAATGAAATTTGGCCATGCTTGCTGTGTAAAAGGTTATAGAATCATAGAGTTGGAAGGGACCATGGAGGCCATTGGAAACAACCCTCTGCTATTGCAGGACATCAGTTTAAACCATCCCACTCAGATGGCTGTCCAGCTTTGCCTTGAATGTCTCTAGTGTGGGAGAGCTCACAACCTCTCTAGGCAACTGGTACACTGTTGTATTGTTCTGACAATGAGGAATCTTTTCCTGATATCTAGCCTGAATCTGGGTTGTCATAATTTGAATTGATTATTGCATGTCCTACACTCTGGTATCATCAAGAAGAGATCTTGACCTTCCTCTTCTGACAGCCTTTGAGGTACTTAAAGAGGAATATAATGCCCCTCCTCAGTCTTCTCTTAAGGCTGTACATGTCCAATTCTCTCAGTCTCCTCATAGGGCAGTTTTTCCAAACCCTGAGTAATTTGTGTTGCCCTCCTCTGGACCCTTTCTAATTTTCCTGCATCTTTCTTAAATCTTGGTGCCCAGTATTTACACAGTATTCCAGATGAGGTCTGACTAGTGAGGAGTATAGGAGATTTACTACTTCTCATGATTTGGAAGTAATACTTCTAGTAATGCATCCCAAAATAGCATTTGCCCTTTTTGTAGCAACATTGCATTGTTGGCTCATTGTTTGGCCTGTTGTCCACAATAACTCCAAGGTCTTTTTCTTTTTCAGTTCTGTTGAACCACGTATTCCCCATCTTGTATCAATGCATTTAGTTTCTTTTTCCTAGGTGAAGGACTTGGTCCTTTGTTTGATCTGTGGCATTTCCAAGAAAAGACTGGGAGAAACTCCCTTCTGAACCCTGGAGAGCTGTTGCCAGTCACTGTAGTCAATACTTAGCTACATATTACTTAAGGAAACATGATACTTCTTTTTCTATATTGAATTTAAAATTATTTGCCATGACTTGTTCTTGTTTAGTTTTTTCTTAATCTGTTTGAAAGGAAGGACAACTAGTAACCCCCGTTCCACTTTAGCTATATATCACTTAGCTCCGGGGTATGTTGAGTCCTGGTTTAATCTGATGATGTTATCATGTTTAAAATTTTATTTATTTATTTATTATATTTAAAACTTTTATATCCTTCTCTTCACAGTGTCTTGGGTGGTGATAAAAATTATTTTTTGCCCTAGGCAAGTTCTCAGACTATAAATATAGATGAAAAAAATTATATAATTAATTTGTATTTAGCCATTCACATGTACATTTTATATAGTGTCTGGAAGTTTTTCTTGAGTTGCTGGAGGGTATAAACTTAAGTGGAAGATCTGATAATAAAACATGGCAAGTATATAATACATATTGAACAATAAAGTTTAACCTATGTTCAGTGGGTGTTATGTTTTGCCATTGATTGGCTGGGTGGTGGGAAACAATTTCACAGATCTGAAGAGTGTCAGATCAACTTGCAGAATGTTAGATTCAATGAATCTCTGTATAACAGGCATCTAAATAGCATGGAGGCAAAACAGAAACTTTTTTCAAAAATGGTTGATGAAAACAGGACATTTAATATGGTAATCTTGGCATTAATGCACTCTATCTTCATCATTCCTTAAAATTCTTCCCCCACTGCTGTCAAAAAGCTAGTAAACTCTGTGCTGGTTTATGCTGCCATCTAATGTTCTGATGATTTGCAAGTATATTTTTCCTTCATAGATACTTCTTTATTTCTTAGATTATTCTTTCTGAAATAGATATCTGCTTTTTCAGAAACCTTCTAACAAACAGAAGTACAACGAATACTGTGCCGCAATTCAGGATCAGCACTTTAAAATATTAAATGCTAATTATCTTGTGTACATATGTAAAATGTAGTATATGAGCATTCTTTAAGTAATGGCTGTTTCCTGGGCTGCTTATTCATTTGCATGCTGCATATATTTTAGTTTTAGTTACTTCCTAATCATGATTCTCTGGTGTCTTCAAAAGATGATAGCTAGAGTGAAAGTTTGTACGTAATAGAAGTAGCTGCACCTGACAAATATCTGATGGGCTGGCACAGGAGGTTTTCCTCCTTTATTTCCTCGCATTTAGCAAGAAATTGATACTCTGCGATTGCATTAATGAAAATTACTTACATTTTGCAGTTTGGTGATAGTTTTCAAATGATACAGACTCTTTTGTCAGACATAATCAGAACTTGTGATGTGGAATAACAGACAATTCATTCAGAACTTGCGATGTGAAATAACTGAAAATTCATTTGGGGGTTATGAGTAGTTTATAGCACAAGTACAGATATCAAAAGCATGAAGCTAATGTTAACAGTTAAACATGTTATAAAATCTTAATTTCACTGTCATAGCTTCAGTGAACATATTCAAACAAAGTATGTTTGTTTCAGTAAACAACGTGGGTGTTTCATATAATTATCCTGAATACTTCCTTGAGATCCCTGACCTAGATAAAGTAAGTATTGTCCTCTTCTTTCAAGTATTAAGACACACTTGTAGACATCAAGCACCAGATTTGATAAGTTAACTTAATCATGGTTAAAATAATTTGATAGTGAAAGTAACTGTGTTTTCCATATATTAACTGACTAGTATAATAACTAATGGGAATTCAAAGGATTCCAGTTGTGTTCCCATTCCCAAAAATTGACTGAATGCCTGTTTTTTTAGAGTAGTTAAACAAGTGTCTTCTTAATTTGTAGGAACCTTTACTTTGATACCATGACACATTTCAAAGAAATTAAATTAAGCCTACAACGTTAGTATTTGAAAGTAAAAATTGGAAATTGCTCAGTTGTTGATTTTGTTGCTGTTTAAATTATCATTATTACCTTAACTGCACTTAAAGCTTCATCCAAATTCATGCAAGATGAATGACACGAGCAATCCCATATAAAATATACTAAAATGAGTTAAAGTGAGTAAAATTATGCTATACCATCCTGTCAAGTTGAGATGTGTGATGGGCAAAATTTCTGTACAACCTTCAGTTTTCCTTCGCAAAGGCTGAAATCAGCTACATTATTTTCTTTAAAAATGACCAATGGATGGGCTTATTTTTAGTTAATCAGTTTTGAAGCGGAATTGTTACATACCAAATCAAGAATTATGAATGAACAGGATAGGCTAACAGGAGGGAATTGTTCTTCAGCCTTCATTAAAATGTATTTGGAAAAAACTTTATCTTAAATTTGTGGCAAACATTGTGATTTACTTACTTTTTTATTCCAGGACAAGAAATTATGCATTTAAATAACACATCTAATTGTGACCTTGTTTTTCTTTTACTCTCCCTCCTCTACTTTTAATGTCATTTTGTCTGTCTACCTCAGCATTTTTCCTGACACTCTTCTTCTCACTCCTCTTAAATTGATTACCAGAGAACTCCCTTTATGGGCATCTCCCTCGTGTCTATCCATATTTCTTCAGATGTGGCACTTTTAATTTTCCATGTACAGAGAAAATTGCCTTTTAAAGAACTGTACTTTGGGTGGGGAGGGAAAAATAGTGGGTCACTCTGTTTTGTAATGAAAAGATCTAGTTTTATATTGAAATTGAAATTTTAGTTTGACATCACCCATTTGGCTCTTCTAGAAGTAGTGATTATTATTATCTTGAGGAGTAATTCTTATTCGGTGACTGACACCAAGCTTTAAGTATCTTTAAACCTACGGAGACTTTAGGCAACATGGGAGTCTCTGCTCAGTACAAACCTGAATGTGGGGGGGGGGGCAAGACTGATAATAATTTACACATGTGAAATAATGTCTACACTTTCAGATACAGGTATATAGAATTGGAGTCTTGATCACTTTTTTTGGAGGGGGGAGGGGCTTCATCAAACTATTTCTATTCAGTTTACCAAAATCTATATGTGAGTTGTCACTTTTCATTCAAGTAGCTGGGTATCATTTATTTGTAGGTGATTTTTATGTCCAAGGTGTTTCCCTTATTCAGAATCAAGATATTTAGCACTGATCTACCTAAATATTCCTAATATGTGTGCATAAAGATTTATCTGCATATATTGGACAGATTAGCCAAGTTTTACACAAGCTGTAAACAGAACTTCCAGGAATCAAATACAACAACTGATTATAGGGATGTATTTATCATGTGTCCGAGTATTAAGTGGCAGTACTGTTGCTGTTTCACTTAAGGAAGTAAGTAGTTGAGCAATTTGTAACAGCATTGTTCTTCTTACAGCACCTTAAAAAGTACCTGACACTAACTAGAGCCCCATTTTTGTGCACTTGTTCTGTATTTAGATATATTTGATAGTTTGTGTGTACTTCTTCTGTATTTAAATATATTTAATAGTCTGATAGTTTTTCCCAGCCTAGTGCCCTCCAGATATTTTGGGTACAAATCCCCACATTCCTCACCAATGCTGACAAGTGCTGATGTGAGTTGGACTGTAACATCTGGAAGAACACTGGCTTGGTGAAAGCTGGTTTTAGTAAACAAACATAATCTTTAATTTGCCCAGTATTCTGTTACACTGAAAGAGGTAAGGGTACACTCCTGTAGCCTGACATTGTCTGGGGAAGAGGCATAGGATTCTGAAAAATCCTGTGGTTCTGTTACTTTGCTGCTGGAATTTATCCTTACAATTGGTGCAGAAAGAACCATGCCAGCTGCCTCTCTGAAAGGGCAAATGTTCCTTGGAGGAAGGGAAAAGGGGCAATAACGGGAGATGGCTGGTGTCCTCACTTTATGCAAATTACTTTTTGTACTCAATCATCTTTCCATCCCATTCTATGGTGCTTTACCTAAATAAAATGCCTGGGACAAGGCATGATGGCAGCAGAGTTTACTACATGTAAGCCTCTGAGTTCCTAGGCTTCTGTGCATTGAACTCAAGGAGCATTTGGTTGTTAGTTATACCATGATTATTAGAGGTAAGGTACCTCTTACCTCTAGTTAGTTATACCATGACTTATTTATACCATGTTATACCATGATTAGTTAGTTATGTGGGGGGCTTAGTTATACCATGATTATTAGAGGTAAGGTACTCTCATATCTGCATATTACTTCATCTTTTTGGATCTTTTGTGTTGAATACTGTGTATAAAAGCATATAGTTAATTCCTTATTTTAAGTGTTGAATTTAAAAATGAGATGCACTAGTCACCTCCTTTTCCTCTTTCAGACAATTGACCACATGATTAACGTTAATGTCATATCTATGTGCAAGGTAAGTGCTACTTTGGGATGCAATAGCATGTATCTTTTTGCCAGTGTAAAATACTTGTCTTAAAAGATCTGTATACAGCATGGTTTTCTTATAGCAGGCACACGTATACATGGCCATTTTATCTGAATTACAGCTGCTTCCATGTAGAGCTTCTGCAAAAGTTCATTTTCTCTGGAAGCCTCTAAAAACTACTCTGCAGCTGTTTCATTGTAGCTCTTGCCCATAGAAGAAAAGCTGAGTTGCCCTTGAACTGTGTTATACTGTCAACCTGTTTGAGCCTTACCTGGAAAACAGGTGTGCAGTGGTGACTGGTGGCAACAGCGCCAGCATTCCTTTTTTTGCTTTGCAAAAAGAACATGGAGGAAACTTACAGGGACTGCAAGGTTTGAAATTGAAGGTTTGAATGGCCTTCCCCAAGCCATTGTATCCTCTCATGCTCTTAGAGCCCTTATATTTGCAGTGTGTATAATTTTCTCCCCCTTTCTTTATCCATTCCCTGACAGGCCATTAATTGTATCTGAATAGTTCAGACAGGACAACTTGTGTTATCTGTATAAAATCTCGCATTGTTATCTGATAGGACACATACTGCTGTTCACATGCTGTGGTCTGGCAATTTGATCAGATCTTTATCCAGATTGCAGTGTCTCTGCAAAACCTACTTCTGGCAATCTTTAGAGCTAGGCTAGCATTTTAGCAGACAGAACATCCCCAGTGCATCATCTCAGAGAGCTGTGGCTCCCATCTTACAAGTCGGTGTGTTTTGATTGCAACAACAGCATTATTTAGGACTTTCTCCCACTTTTTCTGGAGTTTAGCTCATCCTGTGTAAAAATATTTTCCTGAGTGTTTTTCTAATGATTTTTATTGATGCACAGTTTCTGTCCCACTGTGTTTAGTTTTTCTCTGTCACATACCTGCAAAGTATATCACCCTCCATGCTTCAGGGCCTGTGGCTCTGAAAGCAGTGTCATTTTGCAAGGCTTAGAAGTGGACTACTTACTTCTGATGGAGATATGCTGTATTTTCTTTGCTTGGGAAAATGGCACATCATTGAATCTCATCACCACTGTCAGATAAAACAAGTGTTTGCAGTGCTCACATTAGTCTTTCTCTGGGCCTTCTACAATCTCAGAGCTGTGTTGTTGATATCCACTGATATGGAGCAGATTTTTAAATGTTACAACAGTGAGACCAATATATGCAACCTATACTTTCTGGGGCTGTGTTGCCAGGCTACTTGGATCAATTATTTAAGTTCCCTACAGTTTTAGGTTTCCTAAATTGAGAGTACACCTGAGCACTGTACATAACTTAAATGGTAACTCCTATACTCGCTGGAACACTGCTACTGTTGCTTACCATAACTAGCTAGCCAGGGCTTATAGAAGGGGATAAACCAGAGAAGCACTATACTGAGGACTACCTGAAATCTGGAGCATGAATTGGACAAAAGCCATTTTTTAATTCTCTTGAAAAGTGCATTTTTAATTCTAATTTTGCAGTCTAGTCCAGATATATCCGAGTTCAAAAAATAGGCTTTAATAGGCTTTACAGCAATGCAAGATGGAAATAAGGATACACAGCAGTCTGTTCTCCAAGAGTAGAAGAGTTCATCTGATTCACTGAACATGCTTTGTGGAAGAACCAAGTTACACAGGCAGAATAAAAATATGTTGCTTCCACACAAATGAAGGCCTTCAATTCTCCTAGAGTATTTTGAGGTGAAGAGGGGTCACTGCCTTATGAGGGGGCAGAGAGAGGTTTCCCTCAGTCTTGTGTTTGCATACTACTCAATCACCAGGGGTTCTTTCTTATTTATTTTTTTCAGATGACACAATTGGTGCTGCCCGGCATGCTGGAAAGGTGAGTCACGCAAACACTATCCAGACAGTCATCATTATTTATAGGGGAGAATCCTTTCTTTGGAAAATTCATTACTATGACTAATCACCCTGGCCTCCATGTTTTAGTGGCAATGTAATGCTGTGTGAGTCATGGTTTTGGGTGCATGAATCATCAGATGGTGGAAGCCTAGCTCCACTTGATTCTCTTTTTTATTTTCTCTCTCCCCATTACTGTTGTGGTGATTTCTTTTTAAAATGGAATTAAAAAGCCCAACTGACTCATCGGTGCAAACTGAACAACCTGCTATTTTGTGGGGGTGGCCATGGTTGCTGGGATCTTCCTGGGAATAACCTTCTTAAATCCATGTGTGAGAGTCACTGGAAGCAGAATGGTTATAGAAAAGGAGCTCTAGTTATATGGCAAATGGAAGAAAGTATGTGAATAAAGGTTTTCTGGAATAGCATGCCCCATAATATCATCCTTTCAGTGCTAGTCATCTGCAATGCTAGTGTAGCTAGGCAGATAGAGTTCTTGTTATGATTTCCCATTCAATTAACTGTTCCATGAGATTAGTGATTCTTCTGAAAATATAAAACTTCCACTTCCTTTGTTCCTTTAGGGTGGGCAAAAAGAATGGATGGAAAACACTCCCTGCTACCAATATTTTTCTACTTCTGTCTAGTATCTTTGCAGCATAATGCTTTGTTCGAATGTCTCCCAGTTCTCAAGACACTCCTTCAGGGGCTGCTCCTGCAGGGAAAATGAGTCTCTCAGCAGCTGATCCATCTTGTCACTCAGGGTCATCTTTCAGGAATATCGAGAGTGAGATTCCCACTTCCCTCCACCCTCAGAATTTCATTCTCCCCCATTCATTGATTTGAAGTTGCCCAATCTACAGAATAAATCAATGCTGACATATTTCACAAAATTCTGAGTATCACTTGACTAAAGCCATAAGAACATTATTGCAACTGTTTGTTATCTTTCCTCTTGCTCTTATTTTTATATTTATCTCATGGATTGGACTTGTTCAGAGCTTCTGGATTTGTAGTGGGTTCTTAGTATCCAATTAAACACTGTCATACTACTTTGTCTACTTTCGCAGCACAACACAATGGAAAACACTTTCTTGATTGCCTGTGGAAAAGAATGCATAATCCTCTTCGGTTCACAAGCATGGATGGTCAAGCATGCTTAAAATACATATCCAGTGTATGTAGGTAAAAGGGGGTTTTTTTTAGAGTTTGACATTCTGCAGTCTACACGTACAGAGATTATCATGGTTTTGATCAATAATGCTCTTCCTAGTTCCCGCAAAATGTCTTTTGAAGCATTTCAAGTTGCATTTGGTTTTCAGGGATACCTGTTTTCCTAATCTTATGAACTCCCTGATCAACTTCATGTGCTGATCTTGTAGCATGTATTTTTGCTATCAATTTTGAAAAAGTTGCCTGACTGGTCTGACTCATTCTCCCAAATTACACATACAGATTTCTACTACTTAACATGTATGTTTGTGTTCATATATGAATTCATAAATCTCAAAACCCTACTTGAAACAACAATCCTAAACCTATTTTGCAGATAATATCATAAACAGTTCTATTCCTATTCTTTTTCCCCAAATAATATTACAAACAGCAGTTGTATGTTAAAAGATACCTACCTCACAGGTTGTTGTTGTGGGGGTAAGATGGAGGAGGAGAATGATGTAAGCTGCCTTGAGCCCTTTGAGGAAAAAGGCAGGATATAAATAAAAAAATAAAATAAATAAATAAAAGTAACATTAACATTTCTCCCAGTGGAAGGTGTGCACCCCACCCGCCCCACTACCACCTATTGTAGCCCTCTGTGTCGTATTTCATAGTACAGAGTAGCTTTGCAAGGATGGTGATAGGGGACTGCACTCTGTAGCAGAGAATTCATGAAAATCATCCCCAACTTTTTACTCAATTTTTTGGGGAGCCTTCTTGCAGTGGCTATAATTGCATTTTGAACTGTTTGAATAACAAAATATGTTAATCATATGTATTGTAAAACATCAAATATCTTTAGTTGATGCAACTTTTAAATTAGCTATACATATATTTGCATATTGCAATGATTATGATTGGCTAAACACTGCAGGGGGACAGAAAGATAGAGCAAGCAGCTTTAATGTGTGGCTGAGATGGTGTAGGGAGCGGGTTCAGATTTGTTAGGCATTGGGGAACCTTCTGAGACAAGCTGAACCTGCACAAGAGGAATTGATTCCACTTGAACCAAAATGGAGCCAGACTGCTAACACAAAACAAGCTTTTAAGCTGAACCTTGCGGGAAAAGCTGACGGGAGTTGAAGACATTTGTTGTGTGTGAAAATATCCCTTGGGAAAGAAAAAGTCTCTTCATGATCTCAGTGGATCACACATATGGGCTCTGCACTTGCACAGAGCCTGTTGTTTGGAGGATTTAACAGCTAAGAACTTTTTGATGGAAACATTTGCCCAAATGTAGGGTAGAAGAATCAGAATAGTAGAGTTGGAAGAGGCCATGAAGGCCATTAAACCCAATCCGCTGCTGTTGCAGGACACCAGTTTACACCATCCCACTCAGATGGCTGTCCAGTTCCTTTTTGAATATCTCTTGTGTGGGAGAACCCATGACCTTTCTAGTTCCACTTCTATATTGCTCGGACAGTGAGGAAACATTTCCTGATATTTAGCCTGAATCTGGGCTGCTGTATCTTGAATTGATTACTGCGTGTCCTATACTCTGGTATGATCTAGAAGAGATCTTGACCTTCCTCTTCTGACAGCCTTTGAGGTACTTAAAGAGGAATATCATGTCCCTCCTCAGTCTTCTCAAGTCTGTACATGTCCAGTTCTGTCCTCATAGGGCAGTGTTTCCAAACCCTGAATAATTTTTGTTGCCCTCCTCTGGACACTTTCTAATTTTTCTGCATCTTTCTTAAATCTTGGTACCCAGTATTCCAGATGAGGTCTAACTAGTGAGGAGTATAGGAGAACTACGACTTCGCATGATTTGGAAGTAATACTTATATTAGTGCATTCCAAAATAGCATTTGCCCTTCTTGCAGCTACATTGCACTGTTGGCTCAGTGTTTAGCCTGATGTCCACAACAAATCCAAGGTCTTTTTCTTTGTGGGAAAATGACCACAAGCACATGATTAAGATATGATAACCTGTCAGAGACCTAGGCACCAAAAAATAAGTTGCACATGTCTGGAGAAGTGCATTGTGCCTAGATATTTCTATGAAAATGCTAGAAGCCTCTTATACCAAAATAGGAAAGCGGGGGGAGGGGGGGCTGATTTTGAAGAATGTAATACTACTTGATCCCGGCATTACTGAAACTGGTGGAATGGAGAGAATGAGATGTGGCAGTCTCTGAACAAAAACTGTAAAGAAAAGACAGGAAGGGCATACTGGAGGAACTATTAATCTAAACATCAAAGAAAGCAAAGTCCAGCAGATTTGTAAATCTAAAATGTGCAGATTCCTTTATAGAGACACTGTGGATGACAATACCTGGTTCCAAAACTAATTTAGTCCAAAGACCACACTGTTGACTCCCAGACCAGAATGCTCAGGGTGATCTCGAGATGGAGGTCTCAAACTGTTGAAATGATGAGTGACTTTGGCTATCTCCTGCAAAAGAAGAGTATTGCATAATTGCCTGAGTTATGAACAACCCATACTTAAAAATGAACTGCTATTACCTTTTCCAAATTTACTGTGGAAAATAATCATTACTATACCAAGAGAGTGAAGGGAAGAGGCCTTCCCTTCAGGGAGACCTCCAAAGCACATCTTCCTGCCCCACCCCCATCTGGAGAGGGAAATCTTTCTAGCATTTCCTTGCTGTCAAGAGGAGCCACTGGTGAGTTTGGGTGGCAGGGGGCCTTGAAATATTCACAGTTTCTACATTTTCACATGGGTGAACCTCTACAAATATGGAGGGTAAACTATACATGATCTGACTTACATTCAAATTCTACTTAAACATGAATTTTCATTTTCTCAGGAACAGAACTCATTTGTAACCTGGGAACTGCCTGTACTGGCCATCAGGGAAATGTGGCATAATGATACAAAGTTGATTCCAAATTGAATACCTCTCTTCCTTTCCAAGCTAAAAAATGTATCCTCTACCTTCAACATAGATTATGCACCTCATGGACAATTTCTGATGCTTCTCCATTGGTCCATTTCTCAGTTGGTTCACTTGGTTCAAAATGTGTTGGCTGGTCTTCAGTGTTCGTAGATCAAACCATGGAAATTTCATATTATTGTTTTACTGCATTACTCTTACAGTACATCTAGTCTCTTAACTTTCCCTATTTGCTTCTGCATTCAAATGACTGAGTCTTCAAGCTTTTAAAGGATGTCTATAAAGCTCTGAGTTTTGACCAGATTATTTTAGAAACTGGTCTCATATAGGCCTGACCCAGAATTCAGATGAGTATCACAGGTTCTTACTGCCATCTCAGGACACTGAGTGTTGAACACAAGAGGCAGCATCTTCCCTGTGGCAGTGTGATGGCTGGAATGTTCTTCTAACTGAATTTTATCAGATTTGTATTTTACAAGAAAATTGAAAACACCTTTATTTTGATCAGCTTTTATTATCATCACATTTTATTGTATAACTTCATTTACAACTGCATTTAGTAGGTTTGGATTTTGCTTTTTTAAAGTGTTGGTTATGTTTGGTTGTATTTCCATTTTTATTGATTAGATAGTATAGCTGAACCTTTACTTTTGTGGGTATAACTTTTGCAGATTTGATTATTCTTGCGTTCTCCAACAATAATTAAATGAAAAATGTTTTGGCAGACTAGGGTGCAAAATGGGGCTGGGTGCAAGCTGCAGCTGGGAGAGGTGCAGGGATTGGTCATGCTGATGTTCCATCTCAGCCAGCACCTAGCAGCTGACTAGGTTTAGGAGTTAAGGGCTTTTGTTTTTTGTGGGGGGGGGGAATGGTGTTCCTAGAGATATTTGTGGTTTTTCTACTTTCACAGGGATCCTGCACTCCAACCCCTGTGAATGTGGAGGGGCGACTGTATTATGATTTATGTTTTACATAAACCATTCTGGATGTTTTCAGTAGAAAAGCAAGATATGGTGATGATAGCTGGGTGCCTCTACAGTGATAGCCCACTCCTTGCAGACTCCTCTGCAAAGGCAAAGCAGGATTTTCTCCTGCCTGCTTCAGATTTGCAGAGGAATTTCTGGTTTTTCGTGTTAAATCTTTAGCTCATTATTTTTGCCCAGCTCAGGAAAGGTCAGGTATTGCTACTTCTAAAAACTTTCTAAGAACCTTTGACACATCTCTTAGCATGTGTCATGCTGTCAGTTTTGCTGGCACCAATATACTGGTAGTAGCGCATGTGAGGTAAAACGGTGCTCACCAGAATCCTGTCTCAGTGGATCCTCTACTCCACAGTTCTGAAAAATTTACTCCAGAACTTGAAGGAGTACATGTTTCCAACTGTTCCATAGTTTCCAGTATGGGGGAAAACAGACTGAGCAGGTTGTACAGCATCAAAGTAATGGTCTCATGTAAGACCACATATCCCTCTCCTTGGAAAATGTCAAGTTGTAAATTTTCCAGTTCATGGAACTGCTTTGTTAGGTTTTATTGCTGTTGCTGTTTAGTTATGACAGTATTTTTACTCTGCTTTACAGGGTACACTCCTCCCAAAGCAGTTCACACAATTAAAATGGCATAAAATAATTTCATACATACCGAGAAAACCTACAAAGCAGAAACAGCAGTAGAAGTTAAATAGTCTGCCAGATCACACTTTGGTAGAAAGTAGAATATATTTAAAGGCTACTCATGAGCAGTGACCACTCATGAACAGTATGCTGTGCAAGCAAAAGGTCATTAGAAAAACTGACATGCCCTAAGAAGCAAATGCTCTGCAGTGTTTTCCAGAGTTCTGAGGGAAGTTCCAAATCTCTGTTCTGTGGTAAGGCTACTTACACACTTTAGTGTATACTGCATCCATAACCATACTCTACCATGTAGATGGTAAGTTGTCAGTGCAACAGTACAACTTTTAGTGTGCTTTGAATTGGGCACCTGTGTTCTGGACAGACATTAAAACCATTGGATATTTTTCCCTGCAAATTAATTGCATTACAGAGGCAGCTTTCTTTTTACCACTTTATACAGCTGGGGCAGACAAGGGTTGCCATAACAACAATGGAAGAGCAAAATATAGCCTGTTTTCTATTACTTTGCTTAAGGTAGAATGCTGATGAGGTATTAGGGTGTGTTTATTCAGTTATTTTTTAATGTACTCATATTGGAGAAATCTGATTGATGAAACCTACTGAAAGTGTGATAGAAGTATCTACAAGCATATACATTTGCACAGTTCCATAAAGAGTCTATTTGCTTGGCTTGATTGTATCCATTGTTAGATGAAGCATATTGTGTGGCATTGAACTGGATCCTGCTAATGCCTCACTTCATCATGCATTGCTACAAGGAGAGAATCCTACAAGGACCTTGACTTTAGAGAAATCTTGCAGTAAATAGTGCTCTAATATTTAATTGTTAGAATAAACTATTAAAAAACAAACCAGAGATGTTGCTCACAATTAATCGGGCAGCTGTTTTTTCAATTGTGTAACTTTAATGTAGCACTTAGAGAAACTGGGTGGGAAATGCTAACTTAGAAGAAGCATTCTCTTCTGTGTGAGAGAGAAGGCAGCAGCAAGAAGACCATCCCTTTGCTGGTCCACTTGCCTTGTTGGCCGTGCACCCACAAAGGCAGAGTCTAATTGCTTCAGCTTGCTCCTGCTCCAACTTAGCAAAGGAAAGCACTGTAAATTAAATTAGTGTACTGCTGGGCTGCAGCTTGAAGCAGCACCAAATTAGGAACAAGAGACAATCTCTGTAAAGCACTAAAATATGATGATATACAGCACAATTCTGTGGCATCTAGATAGAAACTGATGGTCATAGAATTTTTTCAGAAACCAAGCTAAGAAGTTGGAAAAGTGCCTTGATCTTGTAACTGGGTCTCTAAACTCAAAACACCCTGCCTCCCTTTTGCTGCTGGTGCTAAAAGAACTCTGCTGATTTCATGTCAGGGTCACAAGAATAACTTCAAAAGCATGGTTAAGTGGGCATTTTGGAGGTTGTGTGTGTGGAGGAGAATCACTACTACATAATATCCTGCTGATGCTTCAGTCTTCTTCCCTCACACTTTGAGACATGATGCTTAGACCACTGAAATGGGCTGTCCAAGTGTTTTGCAGGACAAGAGGAACATGGAAGTGACCTTCACTTCCACATTCCTTCTACCTTGTATAGGATGCTCATAATTCTCCAGTTGGTTATGGACTTCTGAACTGGATCATTCCTTTAGCTGGTTTTAATCAGCCAGACCCATTTTGATTTTTAAAAAGGACATTCTGAAATAGCTCTGAGTTCTCCATGCACTATATTATTACAAAGTGGTTCTTGGCTGTTGATGATTAGAGGGCCCACTGAAAGTGCCTTCCCTGAGGAACCCCAAATCCCAAAGCAGCCCCTACATGACCTCATGCACAGAAGGGTCTTTGATTTTTGATGCTAGCTTTTTTGGAGGGTGCCACTGGAAAGGGAGAGGCTTCCAGCAGCAGCTCTGTGTAGCCATGCACACTCTCATTAGATGTTTTATGACCTGTTTTGAGAATAGCTGATACTTGTAAATGTTATTTTAGGCTCTGTAAAATATTTCATTTCTGCTGTTTTTGATGATTGATTGGTATATTTACCCTTTTAGGTCCAAGGGAGTTATAGTGAATGTTTCCTCTCTTGCGGGGCTTTTTCCATCTCCATTTCTTACTCTGTATTCAGCAACCAAGGTATGTATGTATATGTGTATGTGTATCATATCTTGGAATCTTGTAGGCAAATCAAGTTGAGATACATTGTGAAGTCTTCTCTGGAATCACTTTCCTGAAACTAAGCCTAAAAGAGAAGTGTCAGGTTTTGCAATTAATAAGACAATGTCCTACATACAAAAAGAAATCATGGAGTGCTGGTTTTCACATTAAAGGAAGATGAGTCATAGAGCACTATTTCATCCTGCTACTTCTGTTAGGCCCATTGATTTCTGATGGGCTTATCACTTTGCCTTTGACTACAGTAATTATTGCACTACTAATTTATACTTTGATTGGTGAGCTACCTTGTAACATGCAGGAAGCTACTTTTTTAGAGGCAGTGTTTCCTTTTCGTAGACCTTTAATAGGGTACATGTGAATTCATGAAGATGTACATGTGTGCAGTGTGAACAACATTTATCCTGCAAAGTAAAAAAATGACTGCTTTTCAGAATTTCAGTATTTGCATAATAAATACTTATTTAAAACATTTTACACTATTCTTCAGACAGAAACACTCTCAGAGCAGCTTACATAAGACCATTAAAAACAAGACAGTCCCTGCCTCTGGCTTAGTCCAAAAGACATGGTGCAAAAGGAAAAGGGGGTGAGGACTAGTATGCTGGGACGAGCAGGGTGGCACATTTTAATCAAGTACTGTCTGGTGAGCAGTTACCATGACTTGTAAGCAAAGTTAGCAGATGAACTCCTGCATATCCCAAGCAGCTTTGAGAGCAGAGGAATAGAATGCAATCTTCTGGGGCTGTTCTGCACCTGATTTTGTTTATTTCAACTTCACACATGGAGTTCAATAATGGTACAATTCAGTTGTGAGATTCTTGTGAAATATGTGTGTTACAGGAAGAGCTTTTTAAAATTGTTCATTAAAAGAAAAGTAAAACACTCGTTTCTGAACTGTTTAGACTCAAAATACTGCCCCAAAATAAGTGTTGTGCCATGGTAATCAAACCTCTTGCACAGTGGTCACACACTGGAAGCCCATTCTCTCCCCCCACATGCATCTCCTCACTTCTTGCTTCCATTCTGTCAGGGTCATGGCTCAATAATCTCAAGCATCTCTTCTTTCTGATTAGGTAATTTTCCAAAGAACAATATACTGTTTCTTTAGTTTTCAAGTTACTGTTTGTCTTTTTATTTCTATTACTATTGTTATATATAATGAAAAACATGTATTGGCTGAAATTCTGTGTATACACCAGGGTATAAATCGCATTGAATATGAAAGGATTTAATTCTCTGTAAATTGCATCTGATTGTGCTGGAAAACCAAGAAATATGTGTTTCAAAACTTGAAAATATATGTTTCAAAAGTCCATATTTTGACATCAGAATTTATCTTGCATAGGTACATGGTATTCAGTACTGGGTTCTGCTAAGCTCTGCATATATAGGCAGTATGTATGTGTGTGAGTGTTGTTTTAAAAATGAAATTGAATTCTCTTTCAAGACAATACAGATTTTGTAGTTTGCATAAACAGTACAAGTCAGGTAAATCATTCTGCATTTTTGATTTGTAGTTTGAATTGTTCTTATTCAGGTACTCCTGTCCTCCTATGTATGACACACAAGCTCCATATCCCAACGAGCAGAAAGCTTATTTGTCAAGAGATTTCAGTCAACACTGCTGACTGTTGGGCTGGTTCAGACATAAGACATAGCTGTGTATTATGAGGTTTTGCTGCAGCAAGCCTCAGGCTCACGCACTCAGCCCTGCTTCTGTGGTGCAGCTGTGAGGAGGGATTCAAAAGCTGTTGCTTCCATTTTAGATTAACCATGGTTTAATCTGTCAGCCAAATCTGAACAAATTGTAGTCAATCTTAACTATGGTTAATTGAAACAAAGCAATTTCATCATGAAGTGAAGTTTCAACTAACCATAGTTAACATGTAACCATAATTTACTCTTTGATATGTTAATCAGTGCCTGACCTAAAACAGAAGCAGAACTTCCTGTTGTTTTGTGGCTGCACTGGAATATGAGAGGAGAAAAGAACGAGTAAACCACTGGCCTGTCCCTGTATTGCTATTTTTTTTAAAATTTAATAAGGTGGCCAATAATGAAATCCAGATTAAAAACAAAACATAGCATAAAACCAAATAAAAAACCTTCCCATGACCCTGATCTACTCGGACACTATGTTCAGCCTCTGGGGTCTTCCTCCAAGTGCCAATCCCACAAGCTCGGAAGGTAGCAGCTAGTAGGGAGGGCCTTTTCTGTGGTCTCCCCCCCCCCCCCATTTTTGGAACAGTGTCTGTGCTACAGCCTGTCTGATGCCAAATTTGCCACCTTTTCAGTACCAGGACAAGACGTGCCTGTGGTATAGCATTACATGCAAACCAGGTCAAAGTGGATGTTCTCACAAAGTTGAATGTTGCACTTCTAAAGAACTGTGGCATATATTAAGCCTTGAGCCACCATACTTTGGTATTTCTGATCCTTCTGTTTAAGGGAGATAAAGAGAATCTTGAAAACAAATTGGTGGGTATGAATATGTTTAGCTGGTCAGTACATTTAGAAATCTTGGAAACTAGAAGAGGGAAAAGTCCTAAACTAGCCTTTTGATCATCTATGATATGGTGCCACTGCTCTTGCGTAGTATTCTTTTTATATGCACAGTTTCAACTTTGAATGCTGTGCTCTGTCCAAGACTATGTTTGTAAGATAACCTTTAGTCGTTTTCAGTGACTTTAACATACATGGAAATAATATGTTTATATGCATGTACATATACCGTGTTCATGAGGAATTGTTCCTTTTGCATATTTTTAGGCTTTTGGGAATTTCTTCTCTCGGTGTATCAGTAAAGAGTACAAGAAAAAGGGTGTCATTGTGCAGGTGAGTAGAATTGTTCCATTCAGAAATTCTTGCTGCTGTGTTTGTGAAAAGGTCCAGTGGCAGAACACTAAGGGTTAACATTTGAACAAATGTCTTCCCTTGACTGGCTTCTGCTAGGGAGATGAGCAGTAGGACTCAGGCAATTTACACCATGAACTTACGGGGAGAACAGTTCTGCTCCCAAAGGCCACATGGCCTTGCTTTATTACCAAGGATAAATTATGGTTAAGCCCCCTGCAGATGGGCTTCGCTTGTGTATTTCTAAAGTTGACCATTTTTAAAAGGCAAGTAATTACACACACATATATCATGCTAAATAAAGAACCTGTAGCTGTAAAGTAATACTTTTAAAATGGTAAAGGATAAAAATAAGCCAGTAAAGTTACCCCTGTTCAGTGCAGTAATTAATGTCTGAATAATATTTTTTAGAAACCTAATTATAAAATGTCAAATATTGAATTGCAGTACCAAAACATCTTGTAGCATCAAATGTATATTTAAATGAGTGTATCAGAGATAGATGCAGAACTGTTTTGAGCCCAAGAAATGTATAATACTACAGCTGCACTACTTCTAGATCAGTTGTGGCATTCAACGACTCATCCTTTGGTGCCACCCAGTGCTGTAGCTGAGCAATGCAACTTGAGGCCAGGCTGCATTCCTAGGTCACTTGGAATCTTGACTGAGTAAACCACAGTGAACAAGCGGATCAATGCTTATATTCAGCTTCATCCCACTATGGCTGCTACTGTAACTTACTTCTCTGTGGCATCGTGTATATCCAAAACAGTGCCAAATTAAACCTCTGTGTTTGTTTTTGTAGCTTTTAAGCAAACATTTAAGGCAGCTTAGAAGAACAGCTTATAAGAACAGGAAAAAAGGTCTAAATGAGGTCTGCATATACTTTTGAGCCCTGGTGTCTGTTGGGTGGCTGGGGGCCACATAAGTACATGCACATATGCTACCAGTAGTGGAGTGTGCAGTTTCTTTGCTGCCTCTAGTTGGAGTGATCATGGATCACTGCCTTGTCTTGGCGAAGGGCTTGCGTAGCTCAATGAAGCTATGAGCTATGCTGTGCAGGGCCACCCAAGACGGACAGGTCATAGCAGAGAGCTCTGACAAAACGTGATCCACTGGAAAAGGAAATGGCAACCCACTCCAGTATCTTTGTCAAGAAAACCCCATGGACAGTACCAAAAGGCAAAAAGATATGACACCAGAAGATGAGCCCCTCAGGTCAGAAGGTGTCCAATATGCTACTGGGGAAGAGCAGAGGGCTAGTACTAGTAGCGCCAGAAAGAATGAAGCGACTGGGTCAGAGCCGAAAGGACACTCAGTTGCCGATGTATCTGGTGGTGAAAGGAGAGTCCGATGCTGCAAAGATCTATACTCCATAGGAACCTGGAATGTAAGATCCATGAATCAAGGCAAGCTGGATGTGGTCAGACAAGAGATGGCAAGACTGAACATGGACATCTTAGGAATCAGTGAACTAAAATGGACAGGAATGGGGGAATTTAATTCAGATGACCATCAGGTATACTACTGCGGGAAAGAATCCCTCAGAAGAAATGGAGTAGCCTTCATAGTCAATAAAAGAGCAGGAAAAGCAGTACTGGGATACAATCTCCAAAATGACAGAATGATCTCAGTTCAAATCCAAGGCAAGCCATTCAACATCACAGTAGTCCAAGTCTGTGCCCCAACCACTGGTGCTGAAGCGGCTGAACTTGACCGGTTCTGTGAAGGCCTACAACACCTTCTAGAATTAACACCCAAAAACGATGTCCTTATCATCATGGGGGATTGGAATGCTAAAGTAGGAAGCCA